CAGGCTCTTGAAACTGGAAGAACTGAATGGCTGGGTCCACCCATATGGCCATGCTGGTGGTCATCCTGGACTCAGTGCCCCAGGCATGCCTCCTCCAGGCTCCCAGACAGCCCAAAACACCTCAACCACAGAGACTCAGATATGCAGGCCTCCTCTCCCGCCAGCTTATAATTCCACCCCAATCAGGAACTCAGGAATTCTAGACCAACTCTGTCCAAGGAAGGACTTAGGAATTCAAAATCCCCAACCCTGACCTTGTAGTCTGCTGCCCCCAAGGCAACCCATGCCTGCTCCCCAGTTCTTGACCTCTCCGTGTCCCAGGTCCCCAGCGCCCCTGCCGGTACCTACTTTGACCCCAGGCCCGGCCCCAGCGGGCCGGCAGGAGCGGCAGGCCGAGCGCCAGGAGCAGCCCCAGACCGGGGCTCGCCATGGGCCAGAGGACTGGCTGGTGGCACCAGGGACAGGGCTTCTTGCACGCGCTGCTCCTACCGCATCTCGGGCCCGAGGTACTTGCGACTTGGCACCTGCGGGTGGGAGACAGAGAAAGGCCGGGGCGTGGGGGAGGAGGCTGGACCCGGGCGAAGGCCTAGGGGAGGGGCGACCCGCGTCGGGGCACCCCGGAGTCCAGCCCCGCCCCGCCGCCAGAGGTCAGAGATTAAAAATTAACTCGGGGAGGTGCATTCCTGGGCTCTGGAAAGGGAAAGGGATGTGGAAAGGGGGCGGCAGGCCAACCAGCGCGACTTGCCTCCCTACCTGGCCCGGGAGTCTTTGCTCTCGCTCAGGTTCCCGGTCTGGTTCCCTCGCTCGAACCCTCCGTCCGTCCCTCGGTCGCTCGGCCGGACTACACCAGCTCCTCCCGCTCACGTGACCCGGAAAGTTTAGTCACTCACCTGGGAGGGGAGCGCACTTCCGGCTTGTGCACCTGAACAGAGATGGGGCGGAGCCAGGCGGGAGGTGCGGCCGCGCCTGGAGCGCACCTGTAACGGGAACCCAATCCTATAATTGGGAGAAGTGAAAAGGGGCAGAAGCGCGCAGGTGCTAGAGGAAGCTCCCACACGCATTGCGGGCAGGTCCGTAGGACCGCACACACGGGGCATGGAGACGCCGAGGTACGAGGCACTCCTGTCTGGGGCAGACCCCGATGGGGAGTCCCTAATGAAAAAAGACCTGCGCGGAACACATCTGCATGGGGGCAAACCTATAGAGAAGACGTCTACAAGGACATGTAAGAAGCACGCCTGTGGGAGACATCTGCGTTGAATCACATCTGTTTGGAGTATAGCTGAATAGAAGTATACACGTGTGGAAAACAACTGTATAGAACAGCTGCGTGATAACAAACACCTGACAGGCACTCTGGTGTACGGTTTTGAAAACGCAGATGCATAGCTCACCTATGAAATGAACAACACTCGAATAAGGAATTTCGGTGTGGAAATGTATTGGCAATACCTGTATGAGAACACCTGCACCTAAGTACACCTGCATGGGGCTAAGTTATACGGAAACAGATCCATGTTGGTGTATGCTTAACTCGAAAACACCTGGGGGGGGGGCTGTATAACGCATTCCTGGGTGGATTTCTGTTGAGAAGCATACCTGTAAGGTGAAGGAAATAGACTTGTATGAGGAACATCTGCACAGAATTGAGCTCAAATGAGAGAAAGACCTGAGAACATCTGTACGTGGCACATCTGGGGAGGCAGCAGGTCAGCGGCTCACCTGTCGAGTGTATTGAGGCCCACCTGTCAGGGATATATCTGAGATAACGTCTGTCTGGGGTAAAACATCTGTAACCCCCATGATGAGGGGCACCTGCAAGAACCACCTGTAAATAAAAACATTATAATATACTTGTTTGTTTGGGACGCACCTGTTTAAGTACATCTGTTTGGGCAGAAGCTGAGTGGGAACCAAGTGTCCTCATGGCTGTATCTTCGGATAAAGAACGACGTTAATAAGACGACCTCCTCCTGGGGACTCTAGGGTGAAGAGGATGATGAAGGGTACATACAGAGTGACGGGTAAGGATCCCAGGTCCGGATACATTCCTACTTTGCCCTCACTGGGCACGTGGACTGGGGAGAGCGCCCTAACCTGTCTCCTCATCCGGAAAGGAGGAAAGCCGGTCCCACCTACCTTATAGGGCTGGCGAGGACGAAACGAGAGGTGAGTAAAAGGCCTGGCATGTGCAACACACTGAGTCCGTGTTAGCTGTTATTATTACTATTCGCGGTCTCGTGATCGGGCGCCCCGCCCCCTAATGATGAATAGAGAAACTGCACCCGAAACTAGTGGGAGGGATGTTCCGCAGATGCCGCGAGCACTACAAGCTGGGGCCCCGCCTCCTGTGCTCGGCTACCGGGCGCTTGTCCTCGGCCGCGCTTGGGACACTGAGACCCCACAGGCTGGTCTGGAGCGAGCAGTCAGCCCCGCGTCTGGACGGGGCCGCGGCTCGGTTTAGGCTACAGGGCGAGCGCGGGGAGGCGGAGCCCGAGGCTGCCGGGGGTGGGAGCGCAAGGAGGGACCCGCGGGCGCCGCTCGGGCGGCTCTGGCCAATAGGAAACAGACTTTGCAGCCGCGCCGAGCGTTGATCTTCCGTTTCCCGGTCTGAGTGGGGCAGAGAAAGAAGGCGAGCGGGCGGGATGTAGGGCCTGAGGAGGAGCGCGGGGTCTCGCCCTTCCGTTCCCGTGGCCTAGCGGGGAATGTGAAGCGAGCGGGCGGGCAGACGGAGGGCCAGATGGCGTTGGGTTGGTTCTTGAGTACGTCTGGGAAAAACGAGAACTTTTGTTCCTAAAGAGGATTATTAGGGGAGGGAGGTCAGTGGAAAGAGATTACGAAACGCAATCCCTGATTGGGCAGAGGGTAAACTGAGGCACGCAGAGGCGGAACACTGAAAACAGAACTGAGACCATTGATCTATCTACTCCCTCTTCCCAGAATGAACCCCGATGTTCCCTAGGCTGTTCCATACCGGAGCATCCCTGACATCCCTCCCCACG